CCTAAAACAGTAAAGTGATATTCAGAGCAACTACTCCAATTTGTTCAGCTCCCTTTGAATTTTTTGGTTTTCTCCCGCTGAAGTGTCACTCACAAATACAGTAATCATATTGTGTACTGCATCATAAAAGTTGGCATTAAAAAAAAAATGAAATGCAGCTGGAGGTAAGGTAGTTCTCTCAAGAGCCCTATTTTAAGTCCCTTCCATCTATAGATAATAAATAAACATTCTCTGAATTGAGTTCTTCTACCAGGTGTTGATACACTGTTCAGATTTCATACAAAACATGCTTTTACAATTTTTTACAATTTTGTCAGGTGAAACCGATTTTGCAAATCCTTTTAAACTGGAAAGAAAAATCACTTTAGACATTTCCTCTTTACCTACTATTCAGTTATCCTGTCAAAGAAGAATTAGTTTTGTAGTAACTGGCAAATCCCGATTGGGTAATTCTTTATCACTTGCTGTTTAGTAAGAAGTTGTATAAGATTTTATTCCAGTAATTGTTTGGCAGCCAAGCAGGACAGAGTTTACATCTTTCCACCTCCTTTTCTTTTTCTTCTTGTTTACAAACTGGTGTTCTTTTTGGAACTCACCTTTTCCATCCTGGAATATAAATGCTAGCAGGTCAGAGGTTGTGTCAATGTATGCAGCAAAAATTGTTTTCAATCTCTCTAAATATTATTCTGTTTGGTTTTCAATTATTCTGTTCCTATTTTTTTTGTTCATTAAAATTAATCATGATATTTCATCACAATTATCTGTCTCATATGGACTAAATGCATTAAAATTTTATTATTAAATTTTTATTATTAAAAATGAGGCACTGAATACTTCAGTCTCTTCAATATCTTTTATCATCATTAGCCTTATAACTTAACATTACTGTGTAAACTAGACCATTTGGAAGGGTAATTCATGCCAGGTGTCCTAGCAGTCAAGGTTGGTGGGATAGATCAGGACTCATTTTCAGTTGTGTTTGCAGTACTGTGTTATGTCACACATGTTATTCTTCCTCACGTGTTTGTTCCTTTTATCACTGCTTTCAAAGAGCAGCTCTCTTCCATCTCCAAGGTTTACTGATGTTTGCTTTGTCTGAAGTCCACTCTGCTGCTGCTGTATCTTCTGCTTGTAAGAATCACTCACTAGTTTATAAGAACTTTTTCTCCAAAAAAAGCAGAGCAGATGCTTTTGGCATTGTGTTACTAGTGACACCTTTACAAACCATTTGCTAAGTCAGCATATCAGTCTGGAAGTGTCTGAAGCTCAGTGATAGATGTGTTGTCCTCAGATCCCCTGTGCAGTTTTCTGAGAAGCAGGCACATCTCACAGGAAGGTGGAGTCTGTCTGTTCAGTGATGCAGTTTTGTAAGTGACAGCTTAAATTGTGGTCTCAAACTGACCTTCGTGTTTGTTCTCTTTAAATTACACACATCTTTACATTTTCAAATATCAGACTGAGGTTTTCAACCTCTAAAATCAAATATTCAAGAGGATGAGGAAATGGATAATACCCTTAGGCTAATTCCTAAGGATATTTGTTCTGTAGTCCATATTCACAGCCAAAGAAAATCAACTTTCTTGATTACTAGAAGCAGGTAAAGATTTACTGTCTGTTTTTAGAGAGTTTTTTTATTGTTTACAGTGGGTAACAGTATGTAATTAAGTACTTGTGTACATTCCTGCAGGACCAGGTCTGGAATTACGGACAGTTAGTGAGAGTATTGGCCAGTTACAGGGGGAACTCAGATTTTGTTTATACGTAGAGATATATTTAGCACCAGTAAATCTTCATATAGATCAGCCAGAGTATCATAGAATCTTCTAGGATAGAAAAGACCTTCTAGATCAAGTCCAACCAGCCTGACCTACCAGTTCCATTACTGAGTCATGTCCCTTACTGCCAGATTCACAGAAAACACCCACTGACCCATTTTCTTCTTTCTTCGTGCTGCTATATGTCAGCCTGTGAGTCTGTCAATACACATTATCTTCTGAGTTGTGGTTCCCCACTGCTTTTCCTCACTGCTTGCACAGGTCCAGCTGGATGGACATCTAGAAGCACCAAATTCACTATTAAGCTGCTTTGTACAGAGGGCAACAGGATGAGGCCATTGGTGTGACTAGTGTTTGCCTATATGATGTCTTCCACATGTGTTCATCTGTGAGACCAACTGTGTGTATACATGTATGTCTGCATGTGTGCCTATGGGAATGATATGCTCAATATTGCTCCTGATTGGAGCTACAGTGGCTTCACCTTTATAGGACTGTATTAGATGTATTTTTTCCATTACAAATTTTTGAAATCAAACGAGCAGTGTTTTTATTTTATTGCAAATAAAGAATTTTTAATTTATTTATAATAATAAACTATTGTCTCATTTTAATAATGATTTGAATGGGAGAGAAGTCAGCTTTTCATTGCTATTCAGAAAAAAAAGCCCAAATATGGAATTTTTAATGAGAAGAATTAAGTCTTAATGACTTGTATCTCCAAAAGGCTCTGACAATTCCAGAAAGGGTAAAAAAAAAAAAACTAGAAAATTTGTATTTGTATAAACTCATTAGGCCATATTTGAGATCAAAAAGAATTGCCATAGTTTGAACAGGCAATTGTGAACCAACCCACAAGGCGATAATGAAGTACTGGCATCCAAGTATCTCATCATTTCAGAAGACCCAGGATGATCTGAGGAGAATATCCTCATTTTACCTTGGCCAGTCATGTTGCAATTGAAATGTTGTCCTAGTCCCACTGCAATTAAGACTCTGCTCACTAGATACAGAGATGATTTCCCCTCTTCCAACACCCCATAAGTGCTACAACAAATGAGGAGTAAGCTGTTCTGATATCTCTGTTGAATGTGAACTGATAGACAGTGGAATAAATGTACAAAATCCTACTGCTGATGCAGTTGGGAGAGCAAGCCTCTGTGACTGTAAGCAGCTGTTTAGGACAAAAAGAGGCTAACATCCTTGAACTGTAAGGCAGAATATAGCTAGGCAGAATTCAGCCATCCGTAATTCTAGCAGAGTGGACCAGTTTAAAAATAAATAAATAAATAAATAAAGCCTTCTTTTCCCCCCAGAAAAATTGTGAGAACATCTACAGAACTTTTTTAAAGATTGAAAGAAAAAAAAAAAAGTTTATTTCTACTTTATATTTTAGATTTGTCTAGAGGTTTCTTAGGTTTCTGAGATGCTATAGAATGCAGGTGTAAAGTACTAGTTAAATTTTTTACATTTTATACTATACCTAGAGCTCATCTGAAAGTCACAGTGGGTTTTCTAAAGAGGCTGATTAGAGAAGATAATTACTGGTGTCTTAACTAGGATAAAGTGTGCTACAAAACAATCTCTACCTCTTTGTAAATGACAAATCTGTGATACCTTTAAATTTAAGCCATGAAGTTAAGTGTTAATGAAAATTATTTCCCAAAATCAAAAGAAATTGTCAAATTCAGAACATGAAGTGTAAGTATTAATACAAAATATTACTCTTGTGTAACTTCATGTCCAAATATGGTCTTTTAAAGTAAGATCAGTGTTATGCTAATTGATATTTGCAGATAGAAGATAATAGTAAAGTTGTCTTTAACATGACAAAATTGGATCTAAACTGAGGTTTTTGAATGCAAGTAAGTAAATCTGACATAGTGCTTGTACAGTTTTGTTGATTACAGTCCTTCTTTGATCATGTGTTTGGGCATGTGTACGTTTTGAAGATGTATGGCCTTCTCCAAAAACTCTGAAGGTGTTTGAAAGATGATAACTGAAGCTGAGTGGGAGGACTTTACCCTAGCTTCTGTTAATCAACAGCCCCAAGGATTTGGTCATCCCTGAGAGGCGTCCCGACGCAGATCTGGCCAGGTACTTGTACAGAGCAGCTCCTTTGGATGGTGAAATCTTCTGGTACTTACAACCAGTGGCACAAATGCCAGCACTTGGCTGGATTCACAAATTCTGTACTACTCTCTTGGCCATGATCCAGTACAGATGCACTAGGCTGTCAAGAGATGAGTGACTCCACCATTGTTGTTGGGCAATGGGATGAGAAGTAGGAGTCAGATCCAATAAGGGATTGCCCTAATGCTCCAAGCTGCTGCTCCTTGCTACCTACGGGCAAGCAGTGGCTAGGCAAGGGAAGGAGTGTACTCGTTGTACTGGATCTCTACCTTTTGTTCAAGGAGAAAAATTGCACCCAGCAGCAAGAGGCCTGACAGAAGGGGGAGAAAGTGGGAGGTGGGGGTCACAGTGCTTCAGTTGACACAGGCATTTTCCACATGAGCCCAATGCAGAGTTTTGTCAGGAGGGGAGGAAGGAAGAAGTTTCAGTTTCAGCCTTGCAGATAGACGCCGTTCTGTGCCCACAGAAGTGCTTTGTGCCCCTGATACTAAAGGCAGCCACCCAGAGTTGGGGAATGGGTACACAGACCCTGAACTCTGACCAGCAGGGAAATCAGGAGAAAAGAATGCAATTACTGCTGATTTTTATCGGTTTGACTCTGCTTTAAGACTCAGTGCAAAGTTTCAGAAAAAGTGTCCCCTCAAAATAAGAAAGAAAAGGAACAGGGTTGAAAAGGAATAGGTTGGTTTTAATTGTTTTTTGTTGTTGTTGTTTGTTTTAAAATGTACAGTCTGACTATGGTGTTACACTGTCAGTGGTCTTAGTTCCAGAAGGAACTTGTTTGTGTGCATCCACAGCATCCTCATTAATTTTTCCTTCCAGTTCTTCTTCTGCCATTTCCAGCAACAACTTCTCAATGTCATCATCTTCTGAGAAGAGTTCTTTCCTGGCCTCTGTGCAGCTCAGGTGCAGCGCCTTATTTGTTTCTTGTGCGGCATGAGATGTTGTGTTTGAGACCTCCCACTGTGCCATGGAGTCTGCCTGGTTTCCCAGAAGCAGTTCCAGACCTGGGAGAACAAGGAAAAGAACAATCAGTACACTTCTAACTGGAGATACGCTTTCCAAACCAGCTCTGAGATCTGCAGTTAACCCCTTCTGCATCTCACACTCACGCAGGGAGGGCGATTCTGTTAACCTGAGGCTGCCTTTAGAGTGCAAGATACCAGCAGGTACATTTTTCATAGTGGGAATTGATCTGTACAGATAGAGCAAACATGGTCCAGGTTTTGTAGCAGAAAAACATTGCCAGCCTCATTATTTTGACTGTAAATATGTCAAGAAGTCATCCTCTACAGAAACCTGTTTACTGACTGAGTTACTTCTCCCAATGACATACTGAGCAGAGATTTTGAGTAAGCAATTTAAATTATTTCAGATGACCTCTTCCTTTGTTGGATTATGCCATGACACATCTCAAACACCCCATTTTTCCCCTGATGTGAAAGAACTTATATCTAATGGATAAAGGGCACTGATGAAGAACAAACTGTGGTCATCACCTGCTTGGAAGTTTTAGGACTTCAATGCTGACCAGGGTGTATTCAGGAGAGACTGAAGCAAGAATCACCTAGGAAGAAACAAGACAGTGTATGTGGTGTATGAAGCACAGGTAAAAGATTCCTATGTAGTTTTTTTTTTTGGTGTTTTTTTTTTTCCCCAGAGAAGTTGTGGATGCCCCATCCCCGGAGGCATTCAAGGCCAGGCTGGATGGGTTTTCAGGCAGTTGGATCTCGTGGCTGGCAACCCTGGCCACAGCAGGACAAGTGGAACACTAGATGATTTTTGAGGATTCCTCCTCCCTTCTCTGGGCACTGCTGAGCCTGAAGCCAAATACAGAACTGTGATGTTCCTGAAGAAAGTGTTCTCTTGAAGGTTACAAGTGAACATGGGTGTTTTTAACAGCACAGCATCAATGGACAAAATCCAGAATTGCAGTCTTACATAATCATTGCTCTACATCTAATCAAAATAGAAAATTTCCACAAGTACCCTGTGAGACATCTGCTGCCTTCAAAGGAAACAGAAGACCTGTAGAACATTTGAAATTTCTACCTTTTCTTCAAGAGCAACACTAATCTTCCATATGCACTACTGTTTTTGCTGCTGTTCTCACCATAGGTAGTTTTCTAGCTAGGGGCTCATCAGTGTCCTCAGCAGCAGATGGTTGCATCTCTGTTGCTTTTTGTTTCTGTCTTTGCATTGAGGGGAAGGTGATTTACATAGACCTCACACACACCTTGCGTCTAAAGTAAAAGGAAGAGATTGTTGGTACAGTCTTGCTGTGCCTCGAGAAATCCACATTCTCTTATCATTCCCACAACCCTTCCAGGAAGTTAAATACATTTGACCAGTGGAATTACACTGCCATGTCCAGGATTTTCAGCAATGTTTTCCACGCTGTCATCTGTGCCCACCAACAACACATCAAAAGAAACAAAGAAACCCAAGAGCTGCACTCAGTAATAATCCAGGGCAAGGAAAACTCTGACACAGAACAATGCTAAGTGACATCATTACTTTTCTGAGGCACTGTAACAAGCTCCTTGTGCTCACCCTTAACTCTTTTCTTGCGAGGCAATTCCTTTCTTTTCCCTTCTTCTCAGAATGTTTGTGTTTTCATGCAGCCGGGCCATGGGAGGAAGTTGAGATGTCAACTGCAGAGAACAGTTCCAGGAAAGAACAAGTTTGGGTTGTCTCCAAAGGAATTCCCCGCTCTTGAAAAGAGATGGCTGCACTCTTGGACTGCTTGGATCCACAAAATGTCCTCTTGGACAGGAACCCTATAGAAAGTATCAACAAGGGAAGAATAATGAGGAATAAGCATTTTCCCAGCTTTCTTCTTTTATGCTGCGTAGACTCTCAAGGAGGGCAATGTCTTGGAAGGTGGTTGCAAGAACTGTGCCAGCTCTAGATCCAACTTCTGTCTAAATGCTACGACTTCTCCCAGCAAGTACTGTCCTGCATCTCATCAACAGTTGTACACCTTGCAGCACACATTTTGTGTTCCTGTCATGAAAAAGTCTGTCTTCTCCTCTTGCTGCAACTGCAATGGATGTTCTGGTACGACATATGTGTTTGACAAACCTGTGGCTTACCCTGGCACTGCTGCAGTCCTTCTCCCTTCCAGGTAATGGCTGAGCAACACCGTCAGTGAGAGCGGGCAGCACCCATCAGCCCACCACTATCACTGCCAGCCGGGACGAGGGCTGACACAGCGTGTCCATACTCCTGCACAGCACTCACAGCTGTGGCACTCACTGGTGGCAGCCAGGCCCTAAGCACAGTGCTTGTAATGTCACCGTGCTTGTGATGTCACCAGGTAGTCCATGTCCCCAGCTGAGCACCTGGCTCTCCACCGTGACTTCAGTAGGGTTTTGTGTAACACATGGGCAGCCTGATCTAGTATTAGATATGGAGGTTGGCAGCCATGCCTTCAGCAGAGGGATTGGAGCCTGATGATCCTTGAGGTCCCTTCCAACCAAAGCCATTCTGTGATTCTGTGATTTCTGAGTTCATTTGGGCTCCCAAAAAATTATCAGAAGCATTGGGTTGTTGCCTTACTTCTAGTGTGATAATCAATATGAAAGCATAATGTACTTACCTCCCCTTCCTCAAAGTTATCAATATTTCAAATTACTGAAGTTTATATTTGCAAACTGATACTCCTTACATTGAGGAAAAGAATAGTCCTGGCTGGGATATGTAAAATGAGGGTTTGGAACAGAAAGATTTTTGTCCCCATACCAGCATACATTTTTTTGTGCAATGTGAAGTCACGGTATTCAGACATATTAAACATAGGCACATGAAAAGGAGCTCAAATTTCCCATTGTTAATTCACCTTCCTGAAAACAGTCACGTTACATTGTGTAATCACAGTCTGATGCTCTTTTTAGGTGACTGGAATAGTGGAAATAACCCTTGTTTTAAAAAAGGGGAAAAAAGGGAACATCAGAGAACTACAGGCCAGTCAGCCTTACCTCTGTGTCCATTGAGATTACAGTGCAGACATTCCTGGAAAATATGCTAAGGCACATGAAGAACAAAGAAGTGGCTGGTGGCAGTCAACATATCGTGCCTGCAAAATTTGATAGTGTTCTATGATGGGGCTGCAGCATTGATAAGTAAAGGAAAAGCAACTAATGTCATTCAGTTAGACTTGTACAAAGCATTTGATGCTGTTCAACATGACATGCTTGTCTCTGAACTGGAGTGATATGAGTTTGGCAGATGAATTGGCACTCAAGAGTGGTGTTGCTCAGGGGTCAATATTGGGACAGGCACTACTGAACACCTTTGTTAAAGACAGGAACAGCATGTTTTCAGATGACACCATGCTGTGCATTATGGTTGATACACTGGAGGAAAAGGATGACAGCCAAAGGGACCTTGACAGGCTCAAGTGATGGGCCCATGTCAAGCAAGACCAAGTACACTTGGGTCAGAGCACCCCCAAACACGAATACAGACAGGATTGTGTGTAGACAGAGAACAGCCTTGCAGAGGATTTTGGGTATGGGTAGATGAAAAATTAGACATGAGCTGACAATGAGCACATGCAGCCTGGAAAGCCAGTCATATCCAGGTGTGCATTAAAAAACATACGGACAGCAGACTGAGGACAGTGATTTTCCCCTTCTACTTGGCCATTGTGAGACCCTTTCTGGAGTACTACATTCAGATCTGGTGTCCACAGCACAACAAAGACATGGAGGTTCTGAAGCAAGGAGGTCCCAAAGATGACTAGAGAGATGGAGCACCTCTCCTATGAAGAAAAGCTGAGAGAGCTGGAATTGTTCAGCCTCAGAAGAGGGGGAAGAGCTTACTCCAGCCTTTCAGTATGTAATGGAGACTTATGAGAATGCTAGACATTTTTTACAATGATAGTAATGATAGAAGGGGTAAATGTTTTAACTGCCAGAGGGTAAATACAGATTATATGGAAGGAAGAAATTCTTCATGATGATGATAGTGAGGCAGTGAAACAGGTTGCCCAGAGAAGATGTGGAAACCCCATCCCTGGCAATGTTCAAGACCAGATGGACTGATATAGTAGCAGGGGGATTGGAGAAATGTTAGATCACTCCAAAAGAAATGCCTCATTTATTTCCATGGAAACAACAGGTACAAAGAGCACAATAACTCCATTAGATTAAGAAAATTCTGAGTGAGCTCAGAAGTGAATGTTTACAGTCTTCTCCACAATATTTAAAATATCACAATTCACATATTTATACATCATTTTCAGATAACAGTTGTTCAAAGCAGCATAGACACTGAGGTAGAAAATTGCTTTTCTGTTAAATAAGTAATAATAATAATCACAATTGTTTGTTCTGTTGAATCAAATGTCTGTCACACTCCTTTAATTGTAAGTTCATTTTAGGAGAGGATCTTTTACACCCCATGTCTCATCTGCCAGACTCTTAGGACAGCAGCAGTGAGGCAGGGAGTGTGGGAGCACAGAACAACGCAGGGGGAAAGAGAGGCAGATGCTGTTTTTCCTATAACTGTAAAATTTTCCGAAGAAAAATGAATACAATACAAACATTGTTTTTCTCTCCAACATCATTAAAGTCTCTCCCTCTCTACTGGCTCACTCACCAAACATCTTGTATTCCTAACCAGTTTGGCTGGCAGAGAGGAAGGATCCTGCTGTCAACATAATGCAAATCTGACCATTTTCACACATGGAACTTTTCATCAGCATCTTGAAAAAGCAGTAGTGGCCTGTGACTGCAACAACATGGAAGTACGTAGGCAGTGAATTGCGAACACCTCCAGAATATAGATCACTTCTCACATTTCTAACTCCTCTCTCCCACTTGCTGCTGCACAGCAGATTTCCCCTTTCTTCCCACACTCTCACTCTCCCAGAGCACACCCAACGTCACTCACAGCTCAGCTCTGGCAGCAGCAAATCCCTGCTGGAGCAGCTGGAGCAGGCTCTGATCTGACATGGGGCAGTGCAGGGGTCTGCTCACAGAGGCCACTCCTGGAGACTTCTGCTGCCAAAACCTTGCCATGTAAAGGTAATACAATACAATATAACTAATGATGTACAGAGGGAAAGATAAATAAAAAATACCAGAGAAATGAAGAAATTATTTTTTCATATTTCTCTGGCTCATTAGTCCTTTCCCAACTCAGTAGGCACTGTGAATAAGGGCATGACCTGCTCACATTTCTCACTTGGCAGCCTTGTGGCTTTGCAGTCCGTGGGACAGCCATGAAGCATAAAGTACTGTTTATAATTTACACCACCAGCATTGTCTGTGTGCTTGGATATCTGTTACAGAGAGTACCTTTCTCTGGGACTGCCTTTCATTACCCAAGAAACAACCTTGTTTTCCATATATCACTGAGACAATTATGTTTTGCAATGGTCTGAAGAGCAGTTACTTTCCTTCCCAGTCCACTGACTGAAGAAAGAAGGGAGTTCTAGGGAGTGGTCCTACCTGGGTAGCACTCAGTTCACTTTGGTAAACTACCTTTCCTTATTGCTTACTAGAAGAATAGTTCTTCCAGAAAGACATAGCTTCCACATTCTGCTTTTCTCTCTACCTCTCCCAGCTCAAAGCAAGCAAGCCATACCTACTGCACAAGAGGATTAGTAAAGCTGAGAGAATTTAGAGCCCTAATTGGCTCATCACACTCTTTTGCTTGTGCATCATCTACTAATTTTAATGCATTTCTGTCCATGCATTATCACTCACACTGAAAGGTCCCTAATTGTGTCCCTAATTGAGAAGAGACCATCCTATTAGTCACTAATGAAAAATGACGGAAGAAGCTAACAATAACATGCAACACATGACAACACTTGTTAGCTCTCTGAATATCTTGATATATGTTGAAGCCACTACTGTACCTATTTCAGGCTTCTCTAAGCCTGAAGAAGGACACACAGCTGTCAGGACACAGCAGAATGACAAATTCCACAGGAAGACATGCTGAGCAGACGCTGTCAGAGAAACAGTCCTGTCCTCTAGGTGGCAGGGCACAGATATCACACAGATATCGCACAGTCTGCTTCCTGCTACTTAACAACAGCTCTGCAGCAATTACAGCAGTTTATCTTCTGTTTCGTTTGTGGGCTGTTTGTTTTGTTGTTGTTTTTGTTGTTTCTTTAACAATAAAAACATAATAAGAACAATTATTTACTTACTAACTGTACATTACTAGCTGTACATTTAATCTCGAAACAAAAAGGCAACCACATCCAAAAGACTTTGGGCATAGCCCTTAGTACATCGCTTTTGAAGTGCCCATGTTTCACTTACAATGAAACTGAGCTCAGTTCTGTGTCCTTGTACTGTGTCAGGCTGGCAAGGAGTTCACTTTCCCCACAGCAGCTCATACATTTCTGCACTCTGTACCTGTGACCAGAGCGATGTTGACATCACACCAGTGTTTTATCTGTAAGCAGTGCTGACAGAGCACCAAAGCCACCTTGCCTAGCCCCCAAAACCAGTTGGCTGGGGAGGGCAGGAGGTGGGATGTATTCAACAGGACACTGCCAGTGGAGCTGACTTGAGCTGATCAAAAGGATGTTGCATGCTGTGTGGCATGTGCTGAGCAATAAAAGCTGGAAGAAAAGAACAAGAGCTGTGGTGGGACATTCATTATGAAAGTCTAAAGTAAGCAAATCTGTACTGAGTCCCCAAGTCCCAGAAAGTGGCTGTACATTTCTTGTTAATGGGAAGTAAGAATAATTCTTTTCCTCCTTTTGCTTCTTCACATAGCCTTTGCTTTTCTGTCATGGAAATCCTTTTTACCTCAATCCGGATTGGTAGTTTGAGTTTGACTACAGGGAAAAAGGTAAAAGGATAACCCTGTCTGACGTGTTAGTCCGTTAAAGCTCTTCCTCCCCTTCATGAAAGAAAACAAACAGTAGTTTTGTTGAAATTCCTTCATTTGACCTCAATAATGTAACATTTTGTGAGAGAGATGTAAGAGAATACAGCAGAGATGAAAGTGTCCTGAGAAATGGTCAGCCTGAGATTCACAGACTAAGAAGGTCGAGAAACAGAAATAAGACATACTGGGGCATGAGCTGAGATCACAAATGATATCAATACCCACTCACTGGTAGTGATTCATGGCAAAACGTTGCGTTGGAAACTACACATTCTACTCTCACCTCTTTGAGAAGAAGCTAAATTGTTGGCAGTGTCTTAATGATAAAACTTAAGACGCTGATGGATTTTCTTTTTTCTCCAAGGGTCATGCAAATTCCTGTGAGACCACTAAAATGCCCACATGCAGACCTATGTCACTTGAAAAACAGCCTGGTTGAAGCATTAAAACTAACAAAGCAGAGCATCGTGCCCTGTCTCAGTAGCT